GTAGAAGCAAATTAGATCAGATCTTCATATGACTCGCCGAGTCCATTCAATCCCTTTTCCATACAGACCTGATTTGAGCCATGCAACGGCTCCAAATCACAGATCCAAGCTTCTAGGGCATGCTTATCACGTAAAGTTGCAAACTTTACATGCATGCATGGCTTTAAAGGCTTCAAATGTCAAAACTAAGCTCTTAATGGGGTTCTAAGCTCAAGAGGGACCTCAATCACGACCATAGCTGAAACTTTACACTACTAGAATGCAATGAGGGTCCAGATCTGAAGTATGACCCAAACATAAGGCTTAATCATAAAGGATTTGGGGTTTTTGGGTTTAAAAGCAATAATTTGGGGACAAACAAGATCTACTAGATCAATAAACAAGATGGAGGCTTTATTACCAGAAAAGATGACCACACCTGAGTGTGTTCTGGATCTACTTCCTCTTCCTTGAACTCTTCAATCTTCTCCTTCTTCTACTTGCTCTAAAAGTTCCTTCACAAAGCAACAATCACTCATACACTCAAAAAGGGGCTAGGGTTCGGTAAGAGATGCTCTGAGAGTGATGGAGGCGAGGTTGGAGTGTATAAGTGTGTTTAAATAGGGTGCAAACCCTTAAATTAGGTCTTCATCTAGACAGGCGGACTCGCCGAGTCCAGCGTATGGACTCGACGAGTTGCCAGCTTAACTCGCGTGATCAACCCGTCTTCTACTCGACGAGTCGGGCTACAAACTCGTCGAGTACCCCTCAAGAAATGAAAAACTTTAATTAAATCACATACCAGAAACAGAGCGTTACAGAAATTAAGTGGAAGCCCATCTTGATTTCGTCCAAGGCTTTATTCTAGAAGCTTCTGTTAGACTGCTTAAGACCTAAGCTATCCAATTAGAGTTTTGACTGAAACCCTAGTAGCTCACCTATAAAAAGGACCCTAGGGCTTTAATTTTCAGCTACCACTTGAACCCTAGAGTTCTTAGAGCTGATTTTGAGCCTTCTTCTCCTCTCTCCAAGATCATCCAACTTGCTTTGGTGTTTGTGAGCCATCAGAGGTATTACATTTGTGATACTAAGTTCTTGAAGTTTGAAGATTCTTGCTACTATTGAAAGGTAATCATCTAAACCTGTTTTAGTTGTTGATTTTGATTTTCATATGCTAGAATTAGGGTTTATAAGCTTTGGATAATTTTCATGTACAATTAGATAAACCTAGATCAAAAGCTTTAGGGTTCGCATGTGCACATATGAATGTTGTAATGCTTAAAACCCATCAGAAATGTGATTGTGTAAGGATTGTGGTTGTATGTGCAAGTGACCCTGAGAAATTTCAATGTCCCCTTGTGGTAAGAGCCTCATGGATGAGCACTAAAAGATCATTCCAAATCAAAAAAATGGTTAAGCAACATACTTATGTTAGGAATTTCCGTAGTGCTAATCTTATGGATCCCACAAGGATAGCTACACAGTTTCTGAAGGAGATGGTTAGGAAACCAAATATGAAATGTAAGGAAATGCAAGCTATTATTCAAAGCAAGTTTCATGGTCAAAATGTTGTAGAGCAAAGTATAGGGAATTTTATTTAATAGAAGGAAAGTTGAGTGATCACTATGCAAAAGTATGGGATTATGGACATGAGTTGATGAGGTCCAATCTAGGGAGTACAATTCAAATATCTATCTCTGTAAACCCTGATAACACTACTACTTTCCATAGAATGTATACATGTTTTAATGATACCAGAGAAGGATCGAAAGTTGGTTGTCAAAGAGTTATTGGGCTTGATGGAAGTTTTTTAAGGGACAATGTAAAGGTGAGCTGCTAACTGCCATAGGGAGGGATGCAAATAACCATGTGTATCCTATTGCTTGGGATGTTATTGAAACTGAGAACAAGCCCAACTGGAAGTGGTTCTTGGAACTATTATATGATGATTTGGAATTACAAGGAGGCTTGTATTTGTGTGTTAAGTCTGATCACACAAGGTAATGTTTTCGATTATATTTATTTGTCATTTCATTTATACATATATCGAGTAGTTACTAATGAAATGCTTTAATGTAATTGATAAGGTCTTTTAGAAGCTACAAAAGTTGTACTACCACATGTGGAGCACATACAATGTGTAATAAATATGTATGCAAATTTCAGAAAGGTCTTTAATGGTACAGAGTTCAAGAATATGTTTTGGACAGTTTCCAAGTTAACTATTGAGGGAGACTTCAAGTTGAATATGAAGAATATTAGAGAAGTCAATCATGCTGCTTATGATTCTTTGATGGAAAAAGGAGCCTAAATCTTGGTGCATGACATTTTTTAAAGGTGGAATGGCATGTGCGACAGTTGAAAATGGAATGGCAGAGTGTTTTAATGCCATCATACTTGATGCTATAAAGAAGCCTTTGTTGGCCATGCTTGAGGATATTAGATTATATATGATGGAAATGTTCTTTAACTTGAAGATAGATGCACATAAATGGGTTCATGATGTGTGTCCACGACTTATTAAGAAAATAGATGAGTTTGGTATTGGTATCAAGTAAGTATCATAAATTTGTTATTACAATTATCAATATGAATACTAATTACAACTTTTATTGTGTTTGCAGGAGCTGATATGTTCATCCAAGTGTTTTGAATGCTTATGAAGTGAGAAATGGCTTCCACTCATATGGAGTGAACTTAGAGGGGATGTATTGTATATGCATACTTTAGGAGTTGTGTGGGATATCCTATGTCCATACCCAAGCAACCATAATTTACACACAACAGGATCCATCTAGATTCATCAGCACATGGTTTGGTAAGGACAAGTTTTTAGCTACTTATGAGTCTAATATACATCCTATTAATGACAACAATATGTGGGAACCAACACTGACACCAAACAATTATCACTTGTTGAGAGAATGATGCCAGGAAGGCCTTGTATCAAAAGGAAAAGACATGTTTCTAAGCATGAAGACCGATTCTCCTAAGTCTCCTTTAAAGGCGGAACTGTCCGATATTAGAATTGTATGCAAAGGGGGCATAATAAATTATCTTGCAAGAATCCCTCAGTTAACCCTACACCAAATCCTAAAAAGAAAATTTGAAGGGAAATTAAGAATCCAACAGTTAACATTTCAAATTGGGATAATGACTTAATAGGGTAATGTATTTTTCATTTTGTACAAATTTAGTCACTAATTTTTTTTGTCCACATTTGACCATTTAACTTGTTTTTTTTTTCAACATTTAGCCTTTATAACAAGCTACTCTAGGTTCTACCGAAAAAATGACTTAATAGGGTAATATAATTTCCAGTTTGTACACATTTAGTCATTGTGATCAGTTTCTTTAGGTTTTGCTCACGATATCATAGATGGGACAGTCATTAATAAGGTGTTCCTATACATGGCTCGTTGCTCACTTATATTAGTAACCTAATTCACGGATTGGTCAAATAATATTGATGTCTTAGTTTTCTCCAAGAAGAAGATATCTTCGACTTCGATTTTACCAATCATCAGTGTTGTAAAACTCGCCGAGTTGGCCGATTACTCCTCCGAGTACTCGCTACTCAGCCCCTTACCAATGCGAGTTACAAAATCTCGAGTACTCCCCGATCGACCATTACTGAGTAGTGTTGTAAAACACGATCAACTTGGTGATTAATATGTATAATATACTTAATGATTTATTATCTAACACACACTTGTGATTATTACTATATATATATATATATATATATATATATATATATATATATATATATATATATATATCATAGATTTTCAGTAATTATTCATTAAGTGAGACCATTATGTGTTTTTTGGCTTTTATGTATTCACGTGTATCTAATTTTGTTATATATTTCAATCAACTTATGATTTTAACTTATGATTTTGACATATATAATTTCCCTAAAAATATTTCTACATGAGTTACCGAATCCGAGTACTCCCGGGTACTCGCTATACGGTAGTCGGCCGAACAGGTACCGAGCAACGAGTTCTACAACCTTGTCAATCATCATAATAGACAACGAGGTTTTTTGTCATGGACGTGCAAATTCGAATTAGGAGGAAGCAATCACAAGGAATTTCTATGTCTGTTATGGAGATAGATGAAACTTTTTGCTAGAGTGTTCTTTTGTCTTGGAAATGCAAATTATTTAGAGTCTTCCTTAATTCTTTTGTCTTGAAAGTGTAAATTCGAGTTGTGAGGAAACAATAAGAATCTTGTTGTTTGCTATGGAGATAGATAAAACCGAAGTCGAAGACATCTTATGCTTGGAGAAAACTAAGACACTAATATTATTTAACCGATTTATGAATTAGGTTACTGATATAAGTGAGGACGACCCCCGTATGAAAACGCTTCATTAATAATTTTCTCATATAGGATGTTGTGAACAAAACCTGAAAAAACTAATCACAAGGACTAAATGTGTACAAACTGAAAATTATATTAGCCTATTAAACCATTAACTTTTTCAATGATCTAATGAGCGATGTAAATGGTCTAAATATTATTTTGGTCTAAATATTATTTATGATTAGAAAAAATAATCTTACGAAATTACAAGGCATTTTTTACAAAATAAATGCTAATGTTTTTTATACTATTGTAAATATTATTGTTTGGTAAAACTAGTATTTCATTTTCGTATTTTAATGAATCTCTCTCTCTCTCTCTCTCTCTCTCTCTCTCTCTCTCTCTCCGCTCTCTCTCTCTCTCTCTCTCTCTCTCTCTCTGCTCTCTCTCTCTCTCTCTCTCTCTCTCTCTCTCTCTCTCTCTCTCTCCGCTCTCTCTCTCTCTCTCTCTCTCTCTCTCTCTCTCTCCTCTCTCCTCTCTCTCTCTCTCTCTCCTCTCTCTCTCTCTCTCTCTCGCTCTCTCTCTCTCTCTCTCTCTCTCTCTCTCTCTCTCTCAAACAATTAATAGTAGATAAAAAAATAGAGCCACGCAACGGTCTCTCAACTACAATACAAAAAAACATTTCTTGAAATTTAAACTTTTAATACGCTAATCCTTTTTAGTACTTTTACATTACACTCCACTCCAATATCCAACTCAAAACACATCCCAAAAAAGTGAAAGAAACCCTCCTCAAAAACAGAATAACCAATGCTTACCTTTTGCCGATGAGCACCATGGCCTTCTCTCCCTCGTTGTCTTTTTGAAGTTCTAGGGTTCTAAATGCCGCTTCTTTTCAGAAATTAAATCTCTATCTGCGCATCTCGTGCTTACGTAGTAAGTTGTACATGAATTCCTTCATGCGTTTGAATTTTCTTTGCTAAATTTCATCAATGGAGTCGAATCTGGGAAATGTGTCAATTTTCAGTGGAACCCTTCTGTATTTTTATTGTTGTACAGAGTTTTTTTAGCTGCAAAATGCTTTTAGTTAGTTATCACTATGTTCGTTCAAAGTTTAATTTTTGTTTGAATGCAAAAAACACTTTCTTTTTTTTGATGATTTTAAATTTCATTATTTGCTACGCTTACCAATTTTTGATGTTTTCTTGGATTCCTTTAAAATATGGTACCTTTTTAGGTGTTTCTTCTGTGAAATTGAAAGAAAAAGTTTGTATTATCTACGTACAACTAATGATGAATTGTTTTAAATAATTGATTCAAGGTTTTGAATTTTCTACGAAATATTGAACATACTTTGACTTTATATTTTGGGAAATGTGTATATTCAAAACAGCCCTTCAAGATTCTTCTAATTTCTGAATTTTTCCTTGTGTGTGCTTTTGAGCCAAAAACCCTTTTTTAAACTTTAAATTACTTTGTTCTCCAATTCTCCATCTTTTCTGTTTAAAGTTCAATCTTTTTTCTTTTTTCTCTTTTCTCTTTTCTTGCAATTTTTGATTGTTTTCATTTGTGGGTTCTCTTATATTTTACACTTTTTGCAATATATTTTGTGGGATACTTGCTACTTGGCTCTTATGCATTTCAAAATTTTATGTGTCTGTTTAGATTATAATTCACTATAAAAAGATGTTTTAGGATGTTTTTCTCTTTCGTAGAACTTAAAGAACGAAAAAGAAGTAAGTTGAATGCTTTTGGGGATTGATGATATGATGATGAGAAATTCAGAAATGAAGATTTATGTGGTTGCTATTTTGGGTTTATTGATAATTTCTTCCACACGAAATTGTTTCGGGTTTACTGATCCTGGTGATAGTAAGTTCTTGATTCACTCTCCTCGTTAACTTTAATTAATTTTTAGTTTTTGGCCAAAAATATAAATTATTATTTGAATTTTATATAATTCAAAGCTTTTATACTTCTCCAATTATAAACCTTTTTCAAAAAATTTGTTGTTGGGAAATTTAGCTACTTTACCTTCATTGATATAAATTGCTTTATAAAATCCTTTCATTTAGTTTGTCATTATTAGACTACCCATATAGTTATTAAACAAAACACGGTAGATTGATAAGTAATAATAATTTATTTTGTAGTTTAAATAAAAAAAAAATCAGTTGGTCAAAAATTTAATAATTATATAACATTTTATTAAGATTAGAGGGTAAATATAATATTATCAGAAGGTGGACAAAGTGTAAAATATACACTATTTCAGTAACCACTTAAATGCATCTTCACTCGGTTTTTATAAAGCTTTTAACAAATATAAAAAATTAGTTGTTAAAAGGTCGCTTTAAACATTTTTATACGAAAGTCTAATTTGGCCATTATATATATAACATTTTATTTTACACTCTAGTTAATTAAAGTTGTTAAAATGCTAATATGATAATACTAATAATTTTTTGAAATATTAACCATCGGAGATGTTTTTCAAAATGGTTGGAGTGACATCAACAAAAAAGTATTCTTTCTAACAACACAAAATTATTGTTTTCCATGGTAAAATAAAATTAAAAAAAATAAAAAAATAAAAAAAACTTTTTAATATTTTTTTTTCAAATAACAAAAGGCGTTAAAAATCAAAGTCTACACTAATCACTAATCGTATCAGGTGTTGACCCAATTTATCATCCTAGATGTCGTAAGTAACAAGTATAAATACGATTACAAAATTCTTATGAAAATAATGAATACCCAACTTTTTGACATGTTTTCTTTTTAGTTAAATATTTTTATTTTTTCCCATTTCATCCGTTATGAATAAACAATAAAAACTACGTTGTTCTTTCCTGTATTTTAATCCTTCCCAAATCAGATAACCAGAAAAGAAAAAAGTTTTCCTAAATTGTCAAACAAATTATAATGGTTTAATACCCAAATAAAACAATAAAAGTACAAAGGCTTTCTTTGTAATATATTTTTTTTGTCTCTTTATTTGACAACATTACTATTTTCAACATTTGTTTACAAATATCATTTCCATATTTACAGTTTTAGCCATAAATAGCCTATACGCCGCCCTCGGTTTCCCTCCTCTTCTGGGATGGTTGCTCGCAGGAGGAGACCCATGTTTAGAAGGTTGGCAAGGTGTTCAATGCGTCAATTCCAACATAACAGGAATGTACGATATAAAATAAATATATTTCATGTTTTATCGTTTTTCGAATATCTATATGATTGATTAAATTTTAAAATCTCTAATTGATAACTATGTTTAAATTCACAGAGTCCTTAACGATGCTAATTTGGGAGGTGAACTCGGTGAGAATTTGGGAGCTTTTGCTTCAATCATACAAATGTGAGTCTTGAAGGTGTCGTCTCTTTATTGCTTAATGGGATATGACTTAATCAGGACAGCTGTTTATCTTCTTAATAATCTGGACAAAATGACTTAATGTGTTAAGCCAAAAAAACATGGCTTAATGTATTAAGACACCAATCCTTTACCTATTTGTCATTATTCTTTTTTTCCTTCCGGCTTCTCTAATCTTAAACTTGATGAATATTGTTACTTTTACAAAATTTATTTCGTTCCATTTTTCCATGTATGACTCATTTCCTCACATGTTTTTTTAAATATCATTTATCCAGACAAAACAACACTTTATACTTTATACAAACAATAATTAATGGAAAAAAAAAACAATGCTTAAGTTCACAACTTTCTTTTTGTTAACCTTGTGGTATTTCTATTTTATGATCTTCCATTATACAGAGATTTGAGCAATAACCACATTGGAGGCAATATTCCATCTGATTTGCCAATTACCCTCAAGACATTGTACGTCATGTTTCCATCCTTTTTTTCTTTTATCTTTTTTCTTTTTGCATTTATTGTTTTGAACATCTTTTCACACACACATAATATATTTATATATAACTTAAAATAAGTTGTTTCTTTTTTATTTAATGGCCTTACTCCACATGACTAATCCAGTAAGCTATATATAAGTGATCTTTTTTGATTCAATAAAGAAAGTACGATTAATGGAGAAAGTCAGAGAAATGAGGCTTTCATTGTTAACAAATTTTTTTAAACATCATTTATACATACAAAACACTACTTAATCCAAACAACATTTAATCGGTAAAATAAAAGAAACAAGGTCTAGAAGATAATTCAAAACTTTTATGACATTGTTTCTTTAATGAAGCTACATCTTTTTTATTTATTTACTTATTTCAATTTTTTTTAGCTTTCTCTCTGGGAACCAACTTAAGGGAAGCATACCAGAGTCATTGTCTACTTTAGGCCAATTGACAGATTTGTAAGTTTCCTTTTCATATATAATATTTCCTCTGTTATTTTCTTTAATCAATTGTTTTTTTTTTTTTTTTAAAATAATTGTAGGTCTTTGAACAACAACCATTTGAGTGGAGTCATTCCAGATTCCTTTCAACAACTTATGGCATTGAGTAATTTGTATGGCTTTTTTTTGATAAATTCAAATAGGGAAAATACAACAAAGCACAATGTATTTTCATCATTTTATTCATTTAGCCACTTATTTAATCTCTATAGTGATTAAACCATTATAGGTTTTTTAACCTTTTCAAAAAAACGAATTAAAAATAGTTCGGTGACAATTGGCAAAATTAATAAATGGTGAAAATACGTTGTGTTGGTATTTTTAATCTATCCAAAAAGGTAAAATGGTTTAATCACTAAAAAAAATAATAAAGTGATTAAATCAATAAAATAGTAGATATGTTTTAAATTTGATTTCTTGATGTAGGGACTTGTCTCGCAACAATCTAAGTGGCCCTCTGCCTCCTTCAATGGTGAACTTGTCATCAATTTCCACTTTGTAAGTTATTTATATATATGAGCTTTGAATTTGATCAATGATGAATAAAAAAATAAACATAATATTAATGTTGTAAACATCGATAAATAAATTTATATTTTGGGTATGTTTTTGTTTTACTTTTGCAGGCATTTAGAGGACAATTATCTCACCGGGGTACTCGATGTGTTGCAAGATCTTCCACTTATTGATTTGTATGATTCTTGCCCTATTTTTTTTTCTTCCATATAAAGATTCTCTCAAGATACATATATTTTCATTTTTTATTGTTTCTATTATATATTATTATTGTTATTTGAAATAAATATTTTTTTTGTAACATAGGGATATCGAGAATAATCTTTTCTCTGGGCCAATCCCACCGAAATTGTTGAACATTCCAAATTTCAGGTACAAATTAATCATTCCGATAGTCAAAAAGTGTATTTGACTATTAGTGAAATGTCTAGAATACCCTTGAATAATTGCAAAACATAAAATCTAGTCGACCAAATTGCAAAGTAACCAAATATCGTCTCATAAACTAGATGCCAATTTGATTGCCATTCGTGAAGGCTCTCAAGATTTTCTGATTATCGAAGGGCATATTAGACCATTTCCAAAAAATGAAAATGTTAAAATTTTTGAAAATAGTTGCAATGATTTCTCTTGTTCGAGCTATTTAAACGATATATAAATATAACATTTATATATGCAATGCAGAAACAAAGGAAACCCTTTTAATACAACCATTATTCCTTCGCCACCTCTCTCATCTCCTTCACCATCATCACCATTCCCCCCTCAAACTCCGGAAACAAGCTCCGGAATTGAAGCACTTGGACCTTCTTCTCCAAAGCTACCACACGATTCGGGTAAACAAAAGTCAATATTTAGTAATAAAGTTGTTTGGGTTACAATTAGTGGATTCTTGATTCTTGTGTTACTTGCACTTGGATTTTGCATTCGTATGTCAAAACGCCACAAAGAAAAGTCAAGTATCAAAGTTAGTGATCATATCAAGTCTTCCTCAAATCCACCTCATCTTAAAGAGAATGGTAAGTTAAACACAAAATAGTTTTTCTAAAAACATACTTTGAGTTTAATGGTATGCATATTTCGACCTTGAAAGTCAAAAGTTGACCATGACATTTGTGATCTCTTTGCTACACAGAAGCTCAAAGGAATGATAATGGAAGAAATAACTTATTGCCAATATCCAATGTGAAAGAAAAGAAAAAGGAAACCATTTCCAAGAATCCAACACCTCCTCAACTTCTTTCAAGAGAAAGTGTCATTGTAAAATCGTTGGTGATTCCAACAAACACAAATGGGAACACTTCAAGAAACATAAATTCTCCCAAATCTTTCTCAATTGCTTCTCTTCAACAATATACGAATAGCTTTTCTCAAGAAAATCTTATTGGTAGAGGCGTACATGGCCCAGTTTACAAAGCCCAACTCCCTAATGGAAAGGTAATTTTTTTTTTTTTAATAGATAAATTGTTGCCTGAATAATTGATGTTTAAAAATTGAGTAAATTACACGAATAGTCCCTATGGTTTAGGGTAATTTACACGCTTGGTCCCTAACTTATTTTTTTAACTCGGAAGGTCCTTACTGTTTGTTTTTGTTACGCGTTTGGTCCCTACTATTTATTTTTCTTACACGCTTGATCACTGTCTTACCTAAAAAGACTATTATTTAAATAGGGAAAAATGGTGGGGTAGGTAAGGTAAGGTGAGGGGGTGGGGTTGGAGGTGTGTTTATTTAAATAAATTAAAAAAATCAAAGGCAAAATAATATTTTTAGGTAAGACAGAGACTAAGCACGTAACAAAAACAAATAGTTAGGGACCTTCCGAGTAAAAAATATAAGTTAGGGACCAAACGCGCAAATTACCCTAAACCATAGGGACCATTCGTGTAATTTACTCTTAAAAATTTATTGAGAAAATGACTTCACTTTTGGGAAAATGGAAGGGAAAAATAAATGAGAGTATGTTTTTAAAATGATACACCCATATATTGCTTACTAGATAACGAATACATAAAATTTATCGTTTTTACATGTTTTGGTAATCTTATTTTTGTTTAGGAATGCATATCAATTTTTTTTTTTTTTGTTTTTAGGCATTTGTAGTAAGAAAATTGGAGAATATATCTTTGAGGCAATGGAGTGATGAAGATTTCATGGGTATGGTGTCGAATGTCTCAAAACTTCAAAATGAAAATATAGTTGGACTCGAAGGTTATTGTATAGAACATGGACAAAGGCTTTTTGTCTATGAATATTGTAAAAACGGGACGTTACATGAAGCATTGCATCTTGATGATGAGATTCATGAAAAACTTTCATGGAATGCTCGTGTACATTTGGCACTTCAAGCAGCAAAAGCATTGGAGTGAGTACATTTTTCAACTTTTTAGGTTCAAAAAACTTTCATAGAATGACTCTCATGGGACAAATTAAAAAGATGGTTGCAATTTATGGTGACCTTAACCCATATAGAAATCATATATTTTTGTTGTAGTGTCACATAGATAACGTATAAACAGACCTAAAATACGAAAAAGTTAGATCATGATGATTATAAATGTTAGTGTTTTTATTTTTATAATGTTTTTTTAAGGTATTTGCATGAGGTTTGTCAACCGATTGTTGCACATAAAAACTTCAAGTCAACAAATATTCTTCTTGATGAAGAGCTTAATGTACGTGTTTCGGATTGTGGTTTGGCCCCACTACTACCATCAAGCCACATTAGTAAGGTAAATCTTCGGTTATTTTATTTATTTATTTATTTTTTTGTGGTCCCATAAAGCAATAAAAATAGCAATCGAATACGCATAAGTCAAAAATCCATGAAAGTGAGAAGATATTTGTAAAATTTCTTGACATATAATAACAAAAAACCACTTATAACACAAATAATTGGAGTTTTAGAGTGCAAAGGAAACCAGAAAGATCTTAATCTTAAATAATTAATCAAGTAAGGAACTTACATATATGTTCTAAAACAAACGTTTCGTCTTAATTTTGGGGTTGAAAAGCAAAAACCAAAACCCACCCTAGAATTTCGGTCAATTTTTTAAAACAAATTGTTTTTGAATAAGTTTTATTAGATTTATGATTGGTGTTTGAATAATTATGACGATGAAAATTGACATTTGGTAATTTAATTAGTTGCAAGCGTCCGGATACGGTGCCCCGGAATTGGAATCGGGAAGTTATACTTATCAAAGTGATGTTTATAGCTTCGGAATTGTGATGTTGGAACTTCTCACGGGTCGAAAAGCTCATGACAGGTTTTTCCTCCTAATATCTTCTAAACCTTTTGAGTAAATTACACGAATGGTCCCTATGGTTTGGGGTAATTTGCACATTTTGTCTCTTACTTTTTTTTTTTAACATGGGAGGTCCCTATTATTCGTTTTTGTTACGCGTTTGGCCCTTATTGTTTGTTTTTGTTACGCGTTTGGTCCCCTTCTTACCTAAAAATATTATTATTTAAATAGGGAAAATGGTGGGGTAGGTAAGGTAAGGTGAGGAGGTAGGGTTGGGAGAGTGTTTATTACTCAAGTGTGTAATAAAAACAAACAATAGTAACCTTCCGAGTTAAAAAAAATAAGTTAGGGACCAAATATGTAAATTACCCTAAACCATAGAGACCATAACTTTTTTTTTCTTTGTGATAATGAATGTTCAAAACCATATATATGAAATTTTGGTTAGTAGATTTTGATATCCGAGAAACCGTATGCAAGAGTATCTCGACTTTTACAAATATATATTAATTTCTTTGTCTTTTACACAACCTAATTGCATATTAGTTTTATCTACTTAATAAATGAATTAAATTGCTTATTGATTACCTCCATTATTTATCTACTTAATAAATGAATTAAATTGCTTCTTTATTATTACCTCTTTTAAAGTTGTGTTTGGTAGATTTGAAACAACTTATTTATTCTAATTTATTTATTGTATACATGAAAGGCATATAAAAAAAGAATTATTACCTCTATTAAAGTTGTGTTTGGTATTGCAGTAGAACAGGTAACGTACAAAATAATAACGTTTTGTAAAAAACTAATTGATAAGGTAAATTAAAAATATAAAATGACATAAAAGGCATTAGCAAAAATGAGTTTGTAAGGGTTTATATTGGAAAATCATTATCTGAATACTGTATCCCTAATTTTGGATCGGATATTCAAAACTTCCGGTCAGATTATAATATTTTTAGCACCCTTGGTAATGACCGAAATGCCCCTCCCCATCTTCTAATGCAAAGGAAAGTCCATTTTTGACTTCAAAGTTCGAAGCATACTTGAATTTTCTTATTCTTGTTATCTCCAAATTGTGTTGAACTTTACTTTATCTTTCGTAAGGATATATAATAATTATTGTATAGTTGGAAAACAACTCATTTGAATCTTTCGATACTTAAAATTAAATGTTGAATTTTTATTTTTAGGAAGAAAGTAATATTATCTTTATTTATTTATTTATTTATTTTTTTTCTAATGAATATTGCTCGATTCTTATATAGGACAAAACCTCGTGGGGAGCAATTTTTAGTAAGATGGGCAGTTCCTCGTCTTCATGATATAGAAGCGTTATCAAGAATGGTTGACCCATCTCTTGATGCCACGTATACATCCAAGTCTTTATCTCGATTTGCAGATATTATTTCTCTTTGTGTTCAGGTTAGTATCTATAATTTTTATAATATAGTATATATAACGGGCTATAGAAAATAATGTTTGGATATGTTGTTTATAATCTTTTTCTTATTAAGTTACGATAATAAGATAACGAAAAACTGTGGGAGTGTTTGACAAATTTATGTTACCTTTTATGAAACTAATTATTTGATCATTAAATAATCAAATAATCAGAAACATAATATATTTTTCCAAACATTATAAAATGACATATTTGACACCCAAGTAGTGAGATAACCAAAACATCTTTGAAAAGGAACATACAGACACTCGGATTCATGTCCATTACTGGTTCAAAAAAATGTTTAATATCGAAAATGAACCATTATAGGTGTCAATGATTTATATCTTGTATGTTTCTTCAATTTTTGTAGGCCGAACCCGAGTTTAGACCACCAATGTCAGAAATTGTACAAAATCTCTTGCAAATGACCAAGATGAACCATTGAATTTTTGAATTGATGTTTCTTAAGGTTGTTGCCTTATTGGTGTGCTAAATTCTTCATAGAATTTAGCTAATCTTGTCTTGATTCGATTTGTTAGTTAAATTTGTTGGTTGTGTTTGTGTAAAAAATATGTTTTGCTTTGGGTTTATGATGATGGTGGATATTGGATTGTGGGTGGACTAGCGAATGGCGATGCACTGGTGGTGGTGGTTGTTCATATGGTTGTAGTTCATTCATTGGATGGGTGTAAGATTTTTCTTGAATGACTAAATACCTTTCTTGATTTAGTGTCTATTTGAGAACATAAGAAGTTGTGTTGTGAATCTGTTATAAACTTAGATTTGGTTGTGGAGTATATAGAATTGGCATCTAAGAAGTTCTTAAGAAAAATGCGATCTTGAATGTTGTATTTATGCATTACACTTGTATTCTCATCTAACGTGAACTGAAAAATATAAATATAGATGTGGTTTTGGGAAAGTCTTTGTGCATGCGTAACAAGACATTGAGGGGAGGGAATTTGCCTAGACTGAGATTGTTCAGCAGAAAAGGCCGCAGCAGGAGTTGAAGTGGTAAAACCATACAAAGATTTCAAAAATAATTTATGACTTTGGGCTTGTGAGATAAGATCATTAAATACCGGACCCGGTTTAGAGAATGGAAAATGTTTCAAATGAAGCACCCAATCAACACAAAAAACCATTGAATTTTATCGATCTCCTCTACCGGTTGACTAGTTTGCTGCAACTTGATCACATAAACCTTTAAAAGCACGACTAAATTCAAAGACAGATAAGGTGCCTTTGTTGAGTTGTCGAAGCTGATCACGTTGTTGAGTTGTCGAAGTTGATCATGTAAACTCTCAACTCGTTCAACGGAAAACTTACTATAAGCAGATTGAAGTGCAGGACCATATTTGGGCAGCAGTAGATAAGCCAAGAACTTCAGAGAGAAACGAGAGGAGAAGATGATTGACAACAAGTTTGTCCTCAATAGTAATTATCTTCGCAGGTGGTAAAACAGACCCATCAGCGTGGTTCATTACCTTCTGATATTTTATTTCATAACAGGTAGTTGAATGAATTGAGTTTTGTGATCATGTGGATAATTGTAGACATTGAGGGGAAGACATGTTGAACTGAGCATTTGAAGAAAAAGAAAAAGAAAAGAAAATAGGGTGCAGCTAGGGTTGAACTGTAACAGGGAGAAAGAGAATGGAATTTGCCTAATTAAATGGCTGATACCATATAAACCTAACAATTCTCATCACCAATTAGGTGATATATATATATATATATATATATATATATATATATATATATATATATATATATATATATATATATATATATATATATATATAAAGAGAGAGACAGAGAGAGGGAGGGAGTAAGAGAGAGAGAGAGAGAGAGAGAGAGAGAGAGAGATAGATAGATGAAGTGGGGGCAATTAATTTGAACAGAAATATGAGAGAGATTAAGAAATTATAGGAATGAGTTAAAGTTGCAATTACCATTATATCCTTAAGACCTTTTACAAGTTAATATCTATGGTTTTAGAATTTTATATATATATATATATATATATATATATATATATATATATATACACACACACACACCTAGAGTTGTGTCACACCCTCAAACCAGACGGCGGAAACGTCTGAGGGCTCGTGTGACTTAAATTGAATATCATCACAATGAATATACAATCATAACATAAACATCACCATGCATCAATATATTACAACCGACATTGTTCACATCAAGTACATTGTTTTAACATTACAAATCCATACATAAATTTGTTTGATAGTTTTCAAAAAGCAAAAACACACTAACATACTTGGTACCTATTTCCTCAGCTTACTTGTTACCTGAGAATACAAGTTATTTTGAAAAATGGTCAACATATGGAATGTTGGTGAGTTCATAAGTATGTTTGATATGAAAATGTTTTGTGTAGTTTGAACGAGAACAACCCAGAAAATCCGATATTTTCTGAAAAGATCATTGTTTGTAAAAAGGTGTGAAGATCCGTACATATATGCATGATGATTTCAAAACATGTATAATTGAAGAACTTAGTATTGAACGTACAAGTGAAAATGTTGAACTTCCCTGGAAAACCCGATGTTTTCCAAATACATAAATACAGTGATTTCTCAAATTGTTATACCGCCACAATGAATGATTTTGATTACTCTTCCTTGATTACTCGGATGGTTTTGGATTAATTAATGGTTGTGAGTCATTATAACCGTGCATGATAATGACTAGTTATAACTACAGACTACGAACGATCCTTAGAGGTGTCGCCCATTATTATTCACTTAAATCCAACAACCTTGATTACTTTTGATTAACAACCTGAATCTGTTTACTTTGATTACTCATAAGCCTAGCAAACGAGGAGAAGAGGAGTACAAAGTCCTGCTACTTCCGTGAATTATTTTAGGCTGTTGGGTGTGCGAAGGACACGCTGGCCCATCTCACATTTGATTACTTTGACCTTACTAGCTATGCTAATGGGCCACTAAGGCCCGATAGCACTTAAAAGTCATTGAGGGTCCTTTCAATATGGAATTGGGTCATAAAAGGCCCAATAACATATTATCGTTATCCCTTGGGCCCAAAGATCATGTTAATGGATTTCAAAGGTCCAACAAGCATGATTGAAGCCTTTAAGCCCAAGGTTTTGGAATGTTTACTTGTCTTAGGCATTATATCATTGTTGGAGGGTTTGATTGAACGATTTGTTATTTTTGTATCGACTCGAGACCGATCGATTCGTTTATAACGATACTTGGAGTTATGCGTGTATTCATCTTTCAATTTATGTACGTCGTGGTTTAGCATTTTTGACTCAATATTCTAGAAATAAAATAAGTGACTTAAGAATATTGGTTTGACCTTTTCCATCCTTCTTTAATAAAAATGACAATTTTAGTCCCTTATAAAAAAAAGACATTTTTGTCCTTAAACTCTTTTCTTGACACTTTGAGTCATAAACTTGTTCAAATGATATTTTTAGCTCCAAAACTTATTATTTGGCAGTTTCAGCCCTTCCAGAAAAGTATTTTACGGCTAAAATCCAAACTTTATGCAACTTTTACAATTTTGACACAAAATCCAAAAACTTTACATTTTTGATCCTTTTTGGTAAAGAAAAGCATTTTAACCCCTGAAATGATTTTGTTTACCCTTTTTATCCCCTGTTTTGAGAAAATTTTCATTTTAGCCCCTTAAAATTCAGATTTTTCTCAACTTTGGGCTTGTTGGGCCGAAAAGCCCAAAAATTAGCCCATTAAGCTAATATTTACATTTTAAGTCCTTTGAAATGCATAATATTCATAAAAACATTTGTTGTAACTGTTTTGACTCGTTTGACCCTTAAGAAAACCGTAAATGACAATTTTTGACCCAACTTTTGTTTATTTGACAATTTAAGCCCAAAAATGGGTTTTATGTTGAAATATGTTTATCACAATCTTATAAGTTAATATTCTTGACTTGTTTAGTATAATATCACTTAGATCATGTTTTCTTTCCTTATTATGGCATAGATCTTGAGATTTCTTCCGTTTTGGTTACATATACACCACAAAAACACATAAAATCACCCATACATGCATAAAATCATACATAGCACACACATACACATAGATCTACACATTTTGCTTGTATTCTCCTCCATAAAACTTGTAAAAAAACCGAAAAAGAGAGAGGTATGAACTCACCTTTTCTAGTTGATCACGGTTTTTGAAGAAAATGGAAGAAGTTTGATGCTATTCTCGGCCTAACAAGCTTCTTGGAGGATCTTTGGCTTAGATGAGTTCTAAGAGGCAATATCATGAATTTGAATAGATTAAGAGGAGATTTTTGATGAAATGAAGTAGTTAGACCATGGATTTAAGCATCAACTTACCTTAGATGATGACTCTTAGGGAAATACTTGAAAGCTCCTAAATCTCGAAATTTTTGATGGAGGAAGAACTTTTTTAGAGAGAGTTTTGTTTGCAAAAGATGAATGAAATGGGTGTGTGTGTGGGTGTCTTCGGCCGAGAGTAGAAAGGAGAGGGAAAAGAGAGATATTGAGTTGACATGCATGAAAACATGAGATTTTGCATGGGTTTCCAATGGGTAAATGTGAGGTGGCAAGTAAAAGTCAACTCTTCCCTTCCATTTTGAGAAGTTGGGCCGAGAAGAGGGAGAAAGGAGAAAGGAAAATTGGGCTTTTTTGTTCTTAAGTCCATCTTATGGCCCAATTAGGTGATTTTTGGCCCAAAATAAATCAAGGGATGATTTTTATGATCCATTAGGGCTAATTAGTTTTGTTATGGCCAAATAAGGTCCATTAGGGTATTTTATTTCATTCTAGGCCCAACATGGCCCAAAATATTAAAATAAATGGGAGTGGGTCCAATTAGAGCCCATTTAAGAGTTCTAAGCCCAAGATAGTCAAATTGGAAGCTTATTGGCCTATTGGGCCCAATAAGGAAATCCTAGTCCAAAATGGACTTAAACCAGGATTTCTAGGGTTTCCAATTCTTTGTTGACTATTTGAGTGCTTGTATAAAGTGTTTGATTGAAGTTTTGTTGTTATTGAATAAGCATCATGCATGCTTTCACATTGTTGGTTTACAGTTGGTATAATTGTTGTTACAAAACATCAAAATTCCTGGTTGTGACATCATCCCCCCGTTAGAGGGAATTTCGTCCCGAAATTCTTTTGAAAGCTAGATTTGAGAATGTGAGAATAGGTGAGGGTACTTCTGCTTCATTTGGTCTTCGCGTTCCCATGTGAATTCTGGTCCACGCTTCGCGTTCCACCGTACCTTCACAATCGGAATGCGACTTTGCTTAGTACGCTTCACCTCCCTGTCCATGATTTCGACTGGTTCTTCGACGAACATGAGATTCTCGTTGATTTCTATTTCTTCAAGGGGAATGACGAGGGTTTCGTCGTGTCACAACTAGAAATTTTGATGCCTTGTAAACATTGAACAATGATAACAAATGTGAACCAACAATGTGAAAGCATGTAGGATGCTTATTCAATAACAACAGAATTTCAATCAAACACTTCATGCAAGCCCTACAAATAGTCAACAAAGAATTGGAAACCTTTGAAATTCCGGTTTAGGTCCATTTTGGACTAGGATTTCTTTATTGGGCCCAATGGGCCAATAAGCTTTCTATTTGACTATCTTGGGCTTAGAACTCTTAAATGGGCTCTAATTGGACCCATATACAGAAAATTTAATATTTTTGGTCCTTATGAGCCCAAAAT